ACTTTTTCCTCTCTGTCTTGGTCCATATCAATTTCCCATTAAAAAAAAAAAAAGTCACAATAATATTAAGAGTATTAGAGTTTAATGGACTTTATCAGCTCCACAGTAACAGAGGAGCATTACACATATAGTCTTATTTAAATATTTTACTGAAACTGATCTGCCAGGCTGATCTGCACATGAACATAAATACATAAATAATAAAATAATCATTATATAATATGATATATATATATATATATATATATATATATATATATATATATATATTATATATATATATATATATATATATATAATCATATTATATAATGATTATTTTATTATTTATGTATTTATGTTCATGTGCAGATCAGCCTGGACTCCCCACCAAAGTATTTGCACACAGTCTGTATGTTCTAGTCTAATGGAAAAACAGTGTCCTATTAACCTCTAGTTCTGCTGTAAATCAGATGCAGCTAATCCCAGTTTTTTCTGAATGAAGTATTTCTTTTGAGTTTTAAGTATGAGTGGAACACGTCACATGTTCTCTTCACAACAGAGTCAGTGTTAGTGTGTATGTGTATCCTCACTGTAAATCACATTAAAACACAGAGTCTGAGCCTGAGCTGAGGCCAGCATACAGAAAATAAAACATGTACCAGGCACATTTAAGATTTAGTTCTTAATAATGATTTAATCTGAAATAGGAATTGGCTGCTGAAACCCGTCCCTACACTTGTACTTGTGACTTTGTGAAGTCGCATTGTACTCGTAGTAGTATTCACAGTAGTAGACGTATGTCTGTGTATTAGTTGAGATAAAAGTAGTGGTGGTATTAGTATATGACAGTAATATAGTACATGATGCAGTAGCTCTGTGGCACAGGCCAGTAAAAAATAAATTAATTAATTAATAAATTAATAAATCAATTAATAAATAATAATAATAATAATATAATTAACATATTATTGTTATTATTGTTATTATTATTATTATTATTATATGGTAGTGTATCAAATTGATCTTAAATAGGCAAACCCACACACTGAAGAGCTGTTCATGTACCACCTGAAGGAGCATGTGAACCACCAGCAGTAAACATAGCACAGTTTGAGACACACTGGTGGTGAAGGAGGTGTTGTTTCTATTGACATCCATCATTATATTAGCTGTTCACATTGTAAAAACGATTCTTTTATGTCATATCATTCCATATCTTAAGCAACAGGCCTAAAAGAGAAGAAGACGCTTGAGACTGCAATGATTGTTCTGTACTATAACCACAAGAGGGCACTGTGTCTATACTAAAAGATTGTACTATGGATACTTCGCTACAAAAATCCAGTATCAGCGCCTGTACTTTACTGTGTAAATGTGTGTGTAAATGTGTGTGTAGGGGTGTGTGTGTAAATGTGTGTTGTATTCTCCAGCAGCTTCATAAATCTGTCCCATCACCAAATCTTCAACCAATAAGCTCCTGTCTGTGCTGGACGGGGCGGAGCAAAGAAGGAAAAGTTGGACAGTGTCTCTCCCCTACAGTGTGTATTAAGAGCAGACAGTGTTGGGAAGGTTACTTTTCAAAAGTATTCCCCTACAGATTACAGATTACACAGCCCAAAATGTAGTTTGTAACGTAATCCACTAAATTGCTTAAAGTGAGCAATGTAATCTGAATACTTTGGATTACTTGATTTGCTGTAGAGAAACAAAGACTTGGATATTGTAACATAACATGTTTTATCTGCTAAAAGAAAATAAAGAGCCCAGACTTTCCTTAACCAAATTAAAAATATTATTGATAGAAGAGGAGGAGGCACGGTCCCCATGGCATGATTTAGTCCTGTTAAATCCTGTTTTAGACCTGGTTTTAGTCCTGGTTTTAGTCCTGGTTTAGACCTGGTTTTAGTCCTGGTTTAGACCTGGTTTTAGTCCTGGTTTAGACCTGGTTTTAGGCCTGGTTTAGACCTGGTTTATTGTCTGGCAATGAGTGGAATTATGGAAAAAAAAAAAAAAAAAAAAGGGGGGATTTAGCCCAAAATGTAAAAACAGGAAAATCCCGCCATGTAATCCACTTATTTCAACAAAGTAACTGTAATCCAATTACCACTCATTGAAACAGTAACTGTAACAGAATACAGTTACTCATACTCTGATTACGTAACTCTGGAACATGTAATCTGTTACTCCGCAACACTGAGAGTAGACTGGTTTAATATAAAATATAAAACAGCCTGAGAAACTCTGTTCTTATTTTCACTGAATAAAAATGCTGTAAATCATTGAACCAAATGAACTAAACACAAAACTTTACAGTAGTTGTAGTGTCATGTATTGTGTGAAATGTATGTGATGTTTCATAGTGTTATTATATTTTACTCATTAGCAGAAAAAGTTACATGAGATTTTTTGTGTGCATAGTTTAAAACGTATCGAAAATGTTTAAAACGACTCTCCAGAGCCGCCCCCGCTCCACGCCTTTGTTGTTCTATTGCAGGGGTGCTCACACTTTTTCAGCATGTGAGCTACTTACAAAATGACCAAGTCAAAATGATCTACCTAATACAAAGCCAAGCAAACTGCACTGAAACACTCTGTGCCCCTTTTTTGGACCCTCACCCACAGATTGAGAAGCCCTTCTTTAAGAGAACTTCCTCTGGCACTTTACACAAAACTATGAAAAAAGTGAAGGAAGATTTTTAAACCTGTTTTTTCAAGTTCCAAACTGGAGTTACATTCTTTTCTGGTTTTGCAGTGATATTTACCAGCCTCTGCACATTTACCAAACCAAACGCACATCGTGACAAACACAGATGCATTTGTCACTTTTGTTAGACAAACTTCAGCCAAATGTGGCAGTAGGTCTGTTCTGTAGATCCGCTCTATGCTCTAGACCTGCTTTGTGCCAACACTGTAACACAAATTTAGACTTGTTTTTGCTCCGCGGGTTTCAAATGTGCACACAGGCTGCACTGAGACGCCCCACATGCTCCTGCACCCCGCTACAAGTTTATTACCAACAGCAGCGGCCGTAATGAAATATGATCACACTTGTTGAGTGTCAGACCTCGAGTGAGAGACAAGACCGAGTCCAAACGCGATCGAGTCCGAGAGGAGACACGGCGATCTACCCACACGACCTTGGCGATCGACTGGTAGATCACGATCAACGTATTGAGCTCCCCTGGTCTATTGTGTTTTGTCTGTAACTCCTCTGTTCAGTTGAGTCTTCATGTTGTGCTGTGTTTGATTATGTGCTGATGTCGCAGAGGTGTTTTTTTTTTTTTTTTTTTTTTTTTTTTTTTCAGGTCCCACATTCTGCCCCCCACAGGAGCATGGTCTGGGGATCAATAAAATATCTATGTGTAAACAAGAAATCATGAAGGTCCTTTCTGATCAGGGTACACACATCAGGTGAAAATATTTCAGTTATTTAACTTTTCTTTTTTAGTTACTACATCATTTCTTCATATATGTAATGTTCTCTGTGTTTATATAAAATGTAAAAAATAAACAGGAAAAAACAAAAACAAAACATAAGGCACATGTTCTCATTCAGACTTTGGACTGGTAGGCTGTGTCATAAACGGTTTCATCCATTTCATGCGAAATGCAGACATAATGTAGGTATCAAGGTGTTGTTATTTACTTATATTTGACAAAGCATAACTATTGTGTAATTTAGACAAGCAGAGGGAAGGAAGAATAAGAATAACCTAAATTACTCAATTAGAAAACACAAGGCAATTTACATTTTTTAAGTCAAATCTTAAATCTATGTTATTTATGTTTGAACCTGTCATGTGCTCTTTAAAAGTGATTATTATAGCATTGCTGATTATCAGTCAGAAATGTATTTAATGTGTAAAGTTTCAGATTTGATTGTTTTAATGAAAATAAGCTGAGAGCTAAAATTAAAACATCATTGTCTCTCTTAAGTCTTTGCCCTCTCCTCTGGCCAACTCCCTCTTTTCTCCCAAGGCAACAAAAAGATAACATTTGTTGTTTTTTGACACAGATGCAACATGATGCCCAGTGCCCACACACGACGCACAACTCTGCTGCACACTCTTCCATCACACTTCACTGTGTGCATGTAAGTGCCAACATGATTATCACACAAGTGCTGTTTTGAAACTTAGATGATTCCCTCTTCAGTGCGAAGGCTGATCATGTGGCCACCACATGTGCATATCAAACATTGAATTTGTACTATTGGTTTGAATATTGTTGAATGAAGTTCTACATTGAGTTGAACATTGTTTAATGTTTAAAGGTAATCCTCTGTGTGTCCTAAATAATGGGAAACAGATGTATGCTGTTTGCAGGTAAGGTTATAAAGATAACCCAGGCTGGTGTTATCTAAACAGACTTGGTGATGATTTACAGAGTGGTGGTTGTTACTTTCTCCAAAGAAGAAATGTAAAGACGATCAAGGACGATCCAAGGAGTGAACCTGTTCAACATATTATTCGCATATTCATACAGTTGTTTTCTATGTCTGGGTTGAGATAAACTCATGTGTTCAGATCGCCTGATGTAAGTCCTCTGTAGTTGTAGGCCGTCAGGGACAGTGATCTGACCCAGAGCTCTGTATTAGAATTGTATTGGACTGGGAATATATTTTTGTGATTCTAATTGATTGATTCAGTCGTCATTTTTGATAGAGCACACCTAACAAGTGTTGAGTGAGTACTGAGTCCCTGGTGTGTTTGTGTTCACCTTTCATATTCACTTGTTGATCTTGAATAGCTTTACAGGAGGAAAAAGAAATTTTAAAATTTCTTCAACCATGTGATTGTAAAATGGACTGAAAGTCACAGGACCCCAGAGTACTAAATCTGTAAACACAAAACACAACACAAAATGTACCACATAAGGGTTAAACAAACCTAATGCAAATCGACCTGGAAGAGGAAACTTTCACATGAACAGACAACCACAAATGACAACAGTGCACACGCTCAGCAGCACATTACTCCTCCTACAGTAGCTCTTTGACTTTTGCTGGTGCTAACATAAAGAAACTCCACCCTTTTTTCTTGTATAGGGAAGTGAAAACCGGCATATAACATAACAACTAAATGAAAGAAGGAAGTATTGTAGATGCTTAGACAAAATGATCCCTATGACAAGTAAGTAGAAGGCTTTTAAAAATAAAAGTATAACCCTTGTGAAAATGGTTGTTTTCAAATGTCCCAAATTATATTTCCAGGCACAAGGAGGAGGAGGATTGCACTGGTGGGAAAAACTGGATCAGGAAAAAGCAGCCTGGCCAACACAATATTTGGTGAGAGGATTTTTATAGAAAACAATACTCCAAACTCTGGGACAGATGTATGTCAGTCTGAAACCAGGAATGTCAGTGGACATGATATCCAGCTCGTGGACACTCCAGGTCTTTTTGACACAAACCCAGAAGACACCAGTTTGAGCTCTGAGTTTGTGAAATGCATCACAGAGTGTGCCCCTGGACCCCACGCCTTCCTGCTTGTGCTGAAGATAGAGAAGTACACAGTACTTGAGATAGCTGTTGTAAAAATGATACTCAAGTATTTCACTGAAGAGGCTCTGAAGTACACCACAGTGGTGTTCACTCGAGGAGATGACCTCCCAGAGCGGATGAGGATTGAGGAGTGGGTGAGTCTGAACCAGTCCCTGAATGACTTGGTGCAGAAATGTGGAGGTCGCTGCCATGTCATTGATAATAAATACTGGAAGAACAGTGAAGATGAATACAGAAACAACCAGTACCAGGTCAGAGAGCTGCTCCAGACCATCGACCAAACTGTAGCTGACAATGGAGGAAGGTACTACACCAATGATGTGCTGAAGAAAACTGGTGAACAAATAGAGCAAGAGATGGCACGCCTCCGAGCAACTTTATCAGGAGACATGTCAGACGAGTACATTCACAAAATAGCCAAAGAGAATATCTTCAAAAAACTTTGGTCCCGTTTGAAAGGCAATCCAGTAGGAATAGTTGTAGGAGCTTTACTTGGTGTGGGGGTGCTGGTTCCACTTGTAGTGTTTGCTCTTCCATGTGCAGTGTCTGGGGCAGTGATTGGTGCAGTCAGTATGGCTGCAGGAGCTGCAGCAGGGGGAGAAATACAACATGCTGTAAAAAAGAAGATAAGACAATATTATGCAAATGCAGCACAAGCTGTGACAGAGCAACAAGAAATAGATGAAGGGGGAGAGCAAGGAGAACAGGGAGAGCAGGTCCTTCCACCAGAGCTGGAAACAATACGGAGACAAGCTGAAGAGAAAATGAATGAGTGGCATCTTATGTACCAAGGATACAAAAAGCTTCAATGATGTCTGCAATTGGAAAAAAAACTGGAAAAAATATATTATTTATAGAATCTCTCTATTATGACAATAAAACTTTCTAAGCAATGAAACCGTTAGTACCTGGTTAGACATGAAGCGGGAATAAAAATCACACTTGTGTATGTAAAATGTGTGCAGTGTGTCAGGTTGTGTGTAATATGCAAATATTTGATTGATATCTGTTTTAAAATGTAAAATATTTTTTACTCCATTATGAACATTTTTCATTTTCATATTCTTGAAATAAATCATAACTAAAATCTTGCATTGATGCTTCCCTTTGAAAATATGAAGTATTTGAATTTCTATGTATGTTTACAACAGTTTAAAGGAAGAAGAGCAAAATCTTATAATGTCAGTATTTATTTGGGCAGATAACAATTATGTTGAGTTTAGTGACATTACGTGTGATTGTAGTACGAAGATGTGCTGCCTTCTTCTTAACTATGCATGCAAATAAAAATAAAAAATGTCAATTGTAAAATGAACCATATGCATCATACTGATTTGGTTATGCTACAAATAAATAAAGTATTCTCAGTCCTGGTTTAGTCTTGGGTCTAGACCTGATTTATTCCTGGTTTTAGACCTGGTTTTAGACCTGGTTTAGTCCTGGTTTTAGTCCTAGTTTAGTCTTTGTTTAGTCCTGCATTAATCCTGCTTTTAGACCCAGTTTAGTCCTGTTTTTAGACCTGGTTTAGTCCTGTTTTTAGACCTGGTTTAATCCTGGTTTAGTCTTGGTTTAGTCCTGGTATTAGACCTGGTTTAGTCCTGGTTTAGTCCTTGTTTTAGACCTGGTTTTAGACTTGGTTTAGTCCTGGTTTAGTCCTGGTTTTAGACCTGGTTTTAGACTTGGTTTAGTCCTGGTTTTAGACCTGGATTTAGTCCTAGTTTAGTCTTAGTATAGTTCTGCTTTAGTCCTGCTTTTAGACACAAAAAAAAGTTCCAAACAAGCAGCTTAGAGCCACACGCGAAGCTATTCAGACGAGTTTACTCTGTTTTTTATCATTTTAAAACCCGAAACGTGCTCTTCAAACGCTAGCATTTCGCTAACGTAACTTCAACAACTCACGAACGTTATCAACCGGCGACGGTTCATCATCCACGTCCGTTTCCAGTGTCAGTTTGTTTTGTTACCATACCAGCACGCATGCGCGCTCACACACGCACACACGCACTCACACAGACACACATATACATCGCCGACAAGTACGCGCACAGACACGCATGGACACAGTACATGGACATATATAGACACATCCACATCAGTACAATATTTTATAGTCTAATAATCTCTTTAAATGGCTTCCCTTAAAATTGTTACCTGGAACATTCCTGGTATTGGCTCCCAGACAAAGAAAATAAAAATACTCAATTATCTTCATAATCTACAGGCAGACATCTGTTTATTACAAGAAACCCATCTCTCACATATAGACCACCATAAATTAAAAACTTCAGAATTCACCCACTCCTTCTCTTCTTATTACAACTCCAAGCAAAGAGGCGTGAGCATATTAATAAGCAAAAAAATAGCTTTTATCCACAATACAACTATCACAGACCCTGAAGGGCGTTGTTATTATTAATATATCAATCAACAATAGCCCGGTAACAATTGGTAATATCTACGGCCCAAATACAGATAACCCTTCTTTTTTCCACTCCTTCTTCTCTTCCATCTCAAACATCTCCAACTGTCCAGTCATAATCGGAGGCGACTTTAACACAATCATAGACCCATCACTTGACCATTCCAATAACACAAACAACAAACGCATCTGGCAATCTACTGAAATAGTAAAACAGTACATGAAGGATTTGGGTCTTGGCGATAGTTGGCGATTACAGCACCCAACCACCAGAGAATACACCTTTTACTCACCGGTACATCATTCATACTCCTGTATTGATTTCTTACTGACCAGTAATTCAGTTATATTAGACATTTCCGAATCAAGAATTCACCCTATCATCATCAGTGACCATGCCCCAGTTACAATTACATGGAACATAAACAAGCAACATAAACAGGCCCCTAGATGGCGCTTCAACCTATCCCTCCTCAATGACCCAGATTTTGACAGTTATATCAAAAGAGAGTGGGCATCCTTCTTAGAAATAAATGATTCCCCAAAGTCATCATCCACACTTCTCTGGCAAACAGGCAAAGCAGTTTTAAGAGGTAAAATAATTTAATTTTCTGCCCATAAAAAAAAGAAAGAAAAAGAAAAAGAAGCAAGTCTAGAACTTAAGATCAAGCAATTAGAAACACTTAATGCTAATAATTCAACAACAGAAACTCAGAATGACTTAAGGAAATATCAACTCCAACTTAACAACATAACAAACAAACAAACACAATTCTTAATTCACAGACTTCGACAAGAACATTTTCATCACAACAATAAATCTGGTAAATATTTGGCAAATCAACTCAAATGAAATCAAGAAAAAAATACAATTCCCACCATCAGAAACTCAGCAGGGAAGCTCACTTACTCACCACAGGAAATAAATGAAATATTTAGAAATTTTTATGAAAAATTATATTCATCTGAACAGGACCCAAAACAAGAAGACATAGACTCATTTCTCAGGAACATCAAAACACCACAACTTAATACAGAACAGATTAGTATGTTAGATTCACAGATAACAGAAAAAGATCTCTCCACAGCCCTCAACCTTATGCCAAACAACAAAGCACCCGGTCCCGATGGCTTCCCTGCTGAGTTCTATAAACACTTTTGGTCCATTTTAGCACCACTATTCACCAAAGCAATAACTGAAATCAAACAAAAGTCCAGATTTCCGGAACATATGAATTTAGCTATCATCTCACTCCTCCCCAAACCGAATAAAGACCACACCCTACCAAATTACCGCCCTATCTCTCTCATTAACGTAGACATAAAAATCCTCAGCAAAGCTCTCGCCCATAGAATAGAACAGGTCACCCCTCACATAATTCACCCAGATCAGACAGGTTTCATCAAAGGTAGACAAGCAATAATACACGCAGACTGTTCAATTTAATCCACTACTAATCATTACAAGAAGAAGACGCCATCATAGCAACCTTAGATGCAGAAAAAGCATTTGACAAGGTAAACTGGAAATTTCTCTTCGCCACACTACACAAATTTGGCTTTGGGGAATCATTTATTAACTGGATCAACATTTTGTACACTTCACCTTCAGCCTCTGTCATTACTAATGGTCTAACATCACAATGCTTCACACTGCACAGAGGGACTAGGCAAGGATGCCCACTCTCCCCCTCCCTATTCACTATTTTCATTGAGCCACTCGCAATAGCCATCCGTCAGAACCCCCACATACAAGGATTTCAAACAGCTCATATATGCAACATACAATTAATCTCTATGCCGATGACATCTTACTTACACTCCAGAAACCACAATCATCTCTACAGGAAACAATTACCCTCATTGAATCATTCTCTAAAATCTCTGACTACTCAATAAACTGGACAAAATCCTCCATCCTCCCATTACACAACACCAAATGGGATGCGACAGCCCATACATCACATATTCCTTTATCCACCGGTCACATCACATACTTGGGCATTAACATTTCCTCCAGGCTGTCAGAGCTGACTGGACTCAACTTCACTCCACTTCTCAAAACAATAGACAACGATCTATACCACTGGAGGAATCTACCACTATCCATTCTGGGCAGAATAGCAATAATCAAAATGAAAATACTTCCCAAAATAAATTACCTCTTTTCAATGATTCCAATCCAACCCAACAACACCTGGTTCAGCTCCCTCGACTCAATAATCACCAAGATCTACTGGAAAAATAAGCCACCAAGGATCAAACTGACAACACTTCAAAAACCCAAAGCAACAGGCGGATTAGATGCACCACACTTCTATCATTACTTTCTGTCAAATCAGTTACAGTACATATACAAGTGGACACACCCCAGTCACTCAGATTACACCTGGCTAGACATAGAAGAAACACTCTGTAAGGACTTTCAGATTTCAGATATCCCTTTTCTCGCCAATCAATCAAACGACATCCATGTTTCAAAGTAACAACCATAGCATCCACTCTGACAGCCTGGTGGAAATTCCACAAAATCACACGTTCAATTATCTCACTATCTAACTTCACCCCCATCTGGAATAACCCTGATTTTCTTAGCAACAAAAAAACACTTAATTTTCACTCCTGGGTGCAAAAGGGCATCACACATTTAAAACACCTCTTCCATAATAACACCCTGGTGTCATTCCCATACCTGGTCCAGGAGTTTGGCATCACGAGTAATCAGTTTCTGGAATATTCACAACTCAAATCCTTGGTACAGTCAAAAATTAATTCTAGTACAGCAAATCTATGCCTTTCCCCTGCAATCTCAGAATTAATCAATATCCCCAACCCCAAAAAACTCCTTTCAAAGATTTATAAAATAATATCTCACTCCGACCAAACTATATCATTACGTCAATAAAATGGGAACAAGATCTCCCTCACTCGTGATGCCAACTTCTGGACACAGATCTGTAAAAACATTTATCTCATGACAAAAAATGCAAATCTACAACTCATACAATATAAGGTACTCCACAGAACTCACTACACTGGTCAAAAAATGCTGAAAATGGGTTTCACATCAGAAATTAACTGCACAAATTGCACACAAAACCTCCCCGACACTTATATTCACGCCTTCTGGCATTGCACACCCATCGGGCACTTCTGGGAAGGAATCACGGACTCACTATCCCACTTCATGGGTTGTCGCATCCCCATGTCCCCCTCACTCTGTCTTCTAGGAGACCTTTCAATAATCTCAATAGATAATAAAAACCATAAACCTCTCCTTGTGGCCCTAACTATCGCCAAGAAAACTATCCTCATGAACTGGAAATCAAGACACAACATACATCTGACACACTGGAAAAACCTACTCATTGACCATATCTCTCTGGAATACACATCTACTACCCCTGTCAGCACAACAGCACCCCAGTCACCCTGGTCCACCTTCCTCCATTTTCTACA